ACCGGGACCGACCGGGACCGACCGCGGCCGCCGGGACATCAACAACACGAGCGCGCGGCTGCGCAGGCGCGGACACGCCCCCGCCGGGCTCGGGCTGCGCGGGGCGGCCCCATTGCTATATATCCCCCCCACTCTGGGCGAAACCATTCGTTACCGGGGGGGATCTCCGCGCCAGAACGCTGCTTGCGGCGGTAAGAACAGCCGTGTCCGCTGGCGAGCGGCGACACGAACGGGATTTCCCGGTGAGACGCCGGTCAGCAGCCGGTGAGGGACGCGTGTCGCCTCATAGAGAGAGGGTTCCCCCCCCGCGGGCTCGCAATGGAACRGCCCAGCCGTGGCCCCGTCACGTGGAACGCGGGGTGGGCGGGGGCGGGGGCAAAGGCAGGCAAAGAAAGGAGTCACGTGACCGCGGCTCGCCGCCGGAGGCGGGGCTTGGATCACRTGGGGTGGGAGGGCGGCGGCACGAGCCAATCGCGGGCAGGGGGCGGGGCGGGGCGCGGTCACGTGACCGACGCACGTGTTCCGGTTCCGGGTCCGGTGCGYGATGAGGGGCCCGGCGGCCGCGGGGCGGGAACGGCCAGCGGGGAAAGCGGGGAAAGCACCCAAAGCGCCCGGCATGAAGGCGGCGAAGAAAACGTCTGAAGCCACCAAAGCGGCCAAAATGATAAAAGCCAAGCGGACGGCGAAGCGGCTCCCGGCCGTGGCGGATCAGGCGGCGACAGAGGCGACGCGGCGCTCCCGGCACCTGAAGGCGCTGAGCCGTGCGTCGGGCGCCGAGCGGGAGCTGGAGGAGCTSGTGTTCGGCGACAGCCTCAACGTGGAGGAGGACGAGCTGCTGCGACGCCTGGCCGTGCCCCGGCAGGTACGGCACAATCAGCCCCGCTCGGTGCTCGGTGCTCAGTGCCGCTCCACCCCCGGCTCCGAGCCGTGTCCCCGCTCACACCGCCCGTTCGGTTGGTTTCAGGTTTCTGCTGCAGAGGGGAAGGGTCTCCAGGAAGAGTCGAGCGATTCGGAGGTGGAAAATGAAGCGAAAGGTGAYTTGCTGCCCAAAAAGCCGGCCTGGGTGGATGAGGATGATGAAGCTGAGGATAAGTGAGTTCAGGTTGGCTGGTGGGAATTAGGTGTCACTCTTAGGAGTGGCTGCGAGTGGCCTTGGTTTGAACCATCTTTGTGTTGTGTTTTTTYCTTCTAGTGTTGATATGACCCATAAATACAGGAAAGATTTCATGAAAAGCGATGCTGAGACGACRCTTACTCAGAAAAAGCTAAAGAGAAGACTTGAGGAGCAGTGAGTTTCACTAATGTTTTTGTGGCTAGCTTTATTGAAATGAGATCATTGATCTCCATGGTGGGTGCCAGGAGGATGGTGCTAGGAGGTGATGCCCAGCACAGGATGAAGGGCACTGACCATAAACTAAGCCACAAAAAGTTCCACCTCAGCTTTAGGAAGAGCTCCTTTACACTGAGGGTGGCAGAGCCCTGGAACAGCTGCCCAGGGAAGTCATGGAATCTCCTCTCTGGAGACATTCCAAACCAACCTGGCTGTGTTCCTGTGTCACCTGCGCCAGGGGACCCTGGTTGGGCTGGGTGATCCCCTGAGGGTTGATCTCCCTTCTAACCCAACAGTTTTGTCAGATAAAATATGTTTATGTGACATTCGAAGTCACTTTTCTCTTTATCCACTGTGCTCGTGTGGCCTCCTTAAAGCCAGTGTTTCCTGCAGTATTTGCAGTGTTATTCATTCTCAAATAATACTAAGAATAGTTACTAAAATTTCCATGAACATTGTCTGAACTGATGTGTTTAATACTTGTTTTATCCAAAGTCCACTAAATTTGTCAAGTTGCATTAGCTAATCTGTCTTCTAGAGAGTTATATCAGAAACTGAAAACTTAAAAATGTAAAAAAAAAAAAATTGAAAATTTGCATTGTGTTCTAAGTGTAAATAATCCTGCAAAACTGTGGCTATATATCTTGTAGGTATTGAACTTACAGAAGAGAATTACTTTTTCACAAAAGTTACTTTTTTTTTTCTCTTCYCCATTTTCTTGCAAGGTTTCAGCAAGCCATGGGAGGAGTTCCTGCCTGGGCTGATCTAGAAAACAGGAAGAAATCCAAAAGGACTTCGAGTGATAGTAAGTATGTCCAATACTATTCTAAGAAGGGTTTCTGTGATTCCCTGTTCAGCTTGCTAGAAAATAATTACTTTTGGTGTTTTCTCAGTTTCAGTAGTGTGATAATATGCTGGATAAGTCAGCTTTATTCCTTCAGTGTGCTTTAATTTAATTTATTTCAATGAGGAATGTGTAGATTTTGCTGTGGCTAATTTGTGCAATTAGCTGTGTCCATGTGCTTTGGTTTAATGAGGTGACAGTGATGATGAAGAAGATGATCTGCTACGCAGGACTGGCAATTTCATAACGAGCTCTGAGTCCCTGCCAAGAGGGATTTTGAAGGTAAGASAGACCTTATCTTTCCACTTCAGCTTCATCCATGTGCACACTTTGACTCTTGTTGTAAAATTAGTGTAAAATGAATGTAAAATTAGCAATTCTGTGTAAAGTTAATGATTCTGTGAATTTGTTTCTGTAACTGGCAGCTCTAGAGGATAAACAAATTGAATAGTTCAGGAAAAAAGCATGAAACAATCAACTTTGACTCTTGTAAAATGAGTGTAAAATTAATGTAAAATTAGTGATTCCATGTAAAATTAGTGATTCTGTGAATTTGTTTCTGTAACTAGAAGCTCTAGAGAATACACAAATTGAATAGTTCAGGAAAAAGCATGAAACGAACTTCGACTCTTCTTGTAAAATGAGTGTAAAATTAATGTAAAATTAATGATTCTATGTAAAGTTAGCAATTTTGTGAATTTGTTTCTGTAACTAGAAGCTCTAGACAATATACAAATTGAATAGTTCGGGAGAAAGCATGAAACAATAAATTGAGGTGTATTGTTTGACATAAGATTTTCTGCACTCTAAATAGTATCTTGTAGTAGGATTTTAATTTCTGCAGAGGGGGGATGGAAACTTCCCTCAACTTTGAAGCTACTTAGATGGTCTTTGAGAAGTGACAGCCTTAAGTGAGTGTTTCTCATGCTGTCTCATCTGAGTCAGAGTGCAGCTGGTTTTACATTTAGTCTTGGTTTTAAAGCAAACTGGTGAGTTCAGCCTGTGTTTGCATTGGAGCAGCTCCCTGGAACTGGCTGTGTGTGCTCTGCTCACCTTGTGCTGCCCAAAACTTCACCACAGCGCTTGAGGTCGAGTAGCATAAAGAATAACTGGCTTCAAAAGTGATTGCTGGGGTTTTTTAAACTGTCTGATCTGTGTTGTAGGTGAGCACCTGCRTTCCTGCCAACCAGGAGCGTTTTGCCAATGGGAAGCTGGTGACGGTGCAGTTCCATCCTTCAGCCCAAGTGGTGATGACAGCTGGGCACGATCGCTCTGTGTCCCTCTTCCAGGTGAGCAGCTTCAGGCTGTGCTCTGCAAATGGGACTGACACAGAGCCTTCCTTTTGAAATGGGAATACTTGAATTAGTCTGGAGTGGTAGACTTTGTTGTCTCTCTTCCTCTGCACWTGTAACGCCTGTGGTCACAGTGGAAATTCCTTGGTTAAAGGCAACTTGAAAGAAATATCCAGCTGTGACTTYACACCAAGGCAAACTTAGTTGTATCAGAGTTTTTAGCTGAAGATTTGTGTTTAAAAATGTTTGGTTTAAGGTTGTGGTGACAAAGACTTATGAGGTTTTTTGTTGTTGGGAGAGCTTGTAGAGGGGGGAGCAGCCCACTTTGCTTTGAGACTGCCAAATTGCTGTGAAATCATGCTGGGGATGGAGGGGCTGTGCTGCAGCAGGAGGATGCTCATCCTGGGACACTGCCCTGCTCTGAAAACAAAAGATTTTAATGTTATTTAGGAACTTTCAGAATGGCCTAATATCAATGAAGTGGAGTGTGATATTCCCACAGGGCTGCACTGGAAAAACAAATCAAATCAAAGTCAATGCTCCCATTTAGAAAAAGCAGAATAGGAGTGAAAAAAAGCATGGGCAAGAGGTGCGAGGTGTATCAGAAAGGCTGGGAGTGCCTTTTAGGTGGGATGAGGAGCCAAGAGCCAGGTCACTTGTAGGAGAGAGGAAGAGTTTAAAGTTTCATAGTGATGAAACTCTTACTGCCTAAGTCTCAGCTAGGTAGCTGATGCAATTTTTAATGTAAAAGTATTTGGTGTATTCCCAATATGACAAACTGGTTCTTATTTTCTTTTTCAAAGGTGGACGGTATAAGGAACCCAAAAATCCAGAGCATCTATTTRGAGAGCTTTCCAATTTATAAAGCTCGTTTCAGCATGGATGGAGAGCAAGTTATAGCCACTGGTACTCACCACAGCATGTTCTTTGTGTATGACATGATGGCTGGGAACATCATCCCTATCCCAAAAGTGCGAGGTAATTTCTACAGCTCTGAGTGTGTGGGCACAGTTGAATCTGTCCCAAACAGCAATGCCACATGAATTGGCTTTAAAAGGAAGTGCAGTGGGTTGTTGGAGGTTGTA